AGCGGCGCAGCGCAGAGCAGAGCAGAGCGGGGGGCGGGGAGCGGGGAGCGGGGAGTGGGGTCTGGCCCTCAGGGAAGCTCCGCACCCCGCGCCGTCCTGTCCCGCCTGCGAGCTTCACCTCCCTCCGTCCCGGGCAGCGGCACCTGCCCGCAGCCCGCAGGCCAGCGCTGCCCTCCTTCGTGCTGCGGCAGCCACCCCCCTGAGGGACCCAACCGTCAGCCATGGAAGGGGCGCAGCCTGCGCGACACGGGGGTCTGGGCGGGAGCCCGTGGTGCCTGTCCCTTCCGCGCACCGGACAGCGGAAGGACGGAGTGAAGAAAAGGGAAATAAAAAAAGAAGGACTCCGGACAAGAGACCAGTCAGGCTCACCTTGCCAAGGCTAGCACTTCAGAATGAAACAACTCCGCTTTCGAGATCGATTTTTATATACTTCTCCATTACAAGTTTGAGAGTCAACGATAAAGGTCAGTGGCAGCTAAAGTGCCAATTAACATTTTCAACTGAAAAAAGCGTCAGCCCCAGTAATTAACACGTTGGCAGGAGAACCATCACCACAATCTCATTTATTTGGCTCCCCAATAAGGTGGCTGTTCCCTCGGGAGAGACATACATTTGTCACCCTTTCCTCTTACCCTGCTATCAGCACTTTTTCTCATTCCGCCTTAGCAGAGCAGAAGCATTTCCAACTCACATTTACTTTCTATAGAAGAGTCCCATTTTTAAAGGTGCTTTGGAGTAAGGGCAGCCTCTTCAAAGACCGAGTCAATGGCTTTTAGGGTGGTGGCTTGGGAGAAGGAAATGCAGTAGGTGGAAGGTAAACATTACCCAATATAATAGGAAAGTGCACAAGCTCAGCTTAACTAGAGTTCCAGAACTTGATCAGAAGCCTAACTGGCCATGCTGCTGCTCATTCGCATGTAATTGCATCATCATACTACAAAAGGCTCTATTTACCAGACAAAGGATTTACGTGCTGTTCGACAAAGAGCACGTACTAGATGGTTCAAATAATCAGATATGATATACAATATTTTTACCACTGGATTCTAACAATTTTATTCTTTCAACTAAAATATAAGGAGGGAAATGGCTGCTTTAAAATGTATTTTCATTATATGTTACACTGGCATGTTTTCTTTTTAATCTGCAAACTTGTATTTTCCACCACAGACAGGAGTCTGACTTGAGGTGGTTTATAGGCTTTGAATGCAGTAACAGCTATCATGAATTTCTGTTCCTTGAATCTACATGAACTAGCCCCTAATGAGGCTTATATGGGCTTTATTCAATTGTGTTAGAGAATATGGATTTAATTTTTTTTTTTTTCTGGGAATGCTAGCTTAAAGCTGGAAACAGTGAGCAAGCTCATGCTTTCACTCAACTACTTTCTGCTGGGTAGCCCAGGGCAGTTTAAGAGTCTAATCAGATCAGTCACATACAGTTCTTCATCCTCTTTCAAAAGTGAATTGCCCAAATTGTGAAATACACAACACAGCCTATTACAGAAATCCAGATGCACACTCAGTGGCTTTCTGACCTGTGGAATAATTGCTGGAGGTAACTTAGAAATCAACCCCACTCCAGAGCAGTAATGGCAAATGAATCTCCACGTAGAGATCATTTGTTAGTAGCTTGTAACTGACTACAGTAGCAAAGAAAACAGCGCTGTCTGTACCTCTAGAAGCTTAACTAATGTTCCAGTGGCATTTTTCAAGGCAAGCAGAGCTTTTAAATAGTATTTGGTTTATATTTTTGTGATAGAGTAGCAGCATATGGAAGTGTGACTTCTATTTGCATATGCAAGAAGAAAAAAAAAAAAAAGCCATGCAGCTTTAAACAAAACAAAGCATTAAGTAAACTAAAAGTTTGTTAGGAGCAAACCAGGTGGTATTTTCCCCCACTGCTCTCTAGAGTTCTCTCCACAAAATGCATAGTAAATCCTGCAATCATAGTACATAAAGAAATCCTGGAAGGGGGGAGGCTCTTGCTCAGTATGAAGGAACTCTTTCTCCAAAGACAGATGTGGTTTAAATGCAGAGAAGATCCTTAAGGTTGATGTTTCAGAGTAAAAGTTGAAAGGTGTTTTTGTTTCCTCACAGAAACAATTTTTCCTGCAGAAAATTTTATCATGTTTAATTCAGTTCACAGATAACAGTTCTCTGCTGATTTTATTTCTCCTGTTCATTGTCACAGGCTTGCCTAAACAGTGGATCTCTAAAACAGAGATCAGGATTCCCTTTTTGAGCAATGGTTTGAAGACTCCCTCTCCTCTCCCCACCAGAGGTAAGTAACTGGCTATTGCCTCCCCTTCCCTTTCTCACCATATATCTCCACAATCAGAACATGATGATCTGGGTTTACCACAGAATCCTGCAAGTGGTATCAGATAGACAGGCCTTGCCACGAGCCTCTCCCAAACTCTGGCTTCCAAGAGGAAGAGCCGTGCATCCTCTCTCCTTGCCTCCCAGAGACAGTCTCCCCATTTCCACCCAGCACCTTTTCCTTCCTTCCCTCAGAGAACCCAGAGAGGAGCTGCTTTTCTGCCTTTCCTTAGCTTGGTCGGGTTTTCAGGGACGAGGCAGACAAGAGGAAGGGGAATGTCTCTGCTGTGAGAACCATCACTTCACCCAAATCGTAGTCACACATCCTATGGGAAGGAAGGACACATGCACACACGTGCAAAGTGGTATGCCTAGGGTTTCCTACTTCCAAGCTACTCTCCAGTTCAGTTTGACAGCCACATGATGCAATTCATAAACAGAACTTCCCCACTTCATGAAAGACATGAGAACCAGCAGAAATTGATCTGGAGCAAGGTGTAAAAGATCCCTAAAATTAGAGAAGTGAAACTAAGCCAAAAACATGTTTCTAATAGTCCCAAACAACTCAGTACAAAGATCTGTTTATTACCCAACAATGTGACAGTGTCTATATACAGTGTGGAATGTGACATTTACAGGAAATTTCAGTACATCATGCACAGATACAACTGCAATTTTAATAGTTCCAGAATGTTAAGCTGAAGAAATATTCCTTGCTTCAAAAAATCATTTTTACTTTTACATAAAAATATATAATATTGCACTCTTTACAAGGCCAGCAATTTTGCATATTGATTTGTAACAAGTGGAATTCTACTTTATAAAAATAAGCCTTTGTGAGCAACACCCCAAACTAGGGAGCACAAAAGCACCCCAAAACCACAATATTTTTCTTTTTTTTCTCTTAAATAAAGCACATCAACATGAGCCGGGAAGCTTTTCAGTCTGTATTTGGACCCTACATTAACATTTAGACAGTGGAAAACATGACTAAAGCCATCCCATACAATGCTGCTACAACATACACAGTTTGAAATTCAATTCATACAGCATGTAGCCACTTGCTTAACAGAACCAAAGATCAGCCTTTGTGTCATGGACTATGAGAATATTTTTCTTAAGTTTTTCTAGTTTGAGAAGTTCTTCACTCAGGAAGTGACAAGAATTTCTGAAGATTGTTTGGAATTTTCAAAAGAAGTGTAAAGACTTCTTGTGTGTATGTCATCTTCATCACAACTCGGCAATTTCATATACAGTGTTTTGAAGGCAGATGAACCTTAAACACGAGAAGGTAGAGCAGTGGCTCTGTATGGCAGTAGCGGATGTCGATGATGAAAAAGCAAAACAATTTAAAAGAAAAATGTAACTACATCAGGCTTGCGTAGCATTCTTGTTTTACCGTTCACATGACCAGCAGGCCCTCATTCATGGTGTCAGGTTTAGAGGTCTTCAAATCCATCAACCGAAATATTAATTTTTGGTCTGGCCTAAGAATTCAGATTTATTAAGCCTTTCACAACAGAGGCTTATTTTTTTCCCCTCAAAAAATAGCACCTAGGAATAAATAACATATTTGCACAGTGTATCTGTGTAAACTCTTCCAAATCATCTGATGCCTATGAACATTGATTATTCAAGCAGTTAGAATCAAGCATTTTACAGTGTATTGAACTTCAATGACACTAGAACAGGAGCACATCTGTGCCTTCTTTAACACCTTTTTTTAGAGCTCTGGAAGATAAGCTGTGTACTTATATATAATATATATGCTGCCATAGACTTGCAATAGCTAGGTGTTACAGAGTTAGGGAATTAACACTATATTAAAAAAACCCAAAACATGATCAAACTATTGCTTCATGATGCCATGAGGTGTCTACCCATCACTTAGACACATATTTTATTTTTTCCTGTTGTAAACACTATTATACTATCAGAAAAGATGGCAAAAATTACAAATATAACAGAAATGAAATTTTTAGCATTACAATACCGTAAGATGGTGCAAAAAGCACCTACTAAGTTCTTTGCTTCTCAAAAAAAGCAATTGTAAGTGGTCTTGGATTTTTAAGTTTTGGGTTGCTTATCCCAGAGCTAGCTGTACCATGCTCAACTAATCAGATATACATATGCTGACATTTCAATAGATATTTACAGAACTTTTTGCTGCTGATATTTTACAACATAAGAGGGGGAATAAGCATTATCAATCGTTTTTTTTAAATACTTCTGTCCAAGAAGTGATTTAAAAAAAAAAACAAAAACAAAAAACAACAAACTTTTATATTGCAGCATTTTTACTTGTATGTTAGAGCATTTATGAGTCACTTTGCTGGTATTGGAGTACATGACCAGAGCTTCCTGGTGACCTGGATATGCTTCAAGTTTGTACATGCATATAACGCAATTTTACAGACACCTTAGACTGCTCTTTTTAAAAAAAAATCTATTCAGTCATTCTAGAGACATTCAAACTACTTCAAAATCCAGTTAAATAAGAGTTTCTAGAATCTATTTTGGATTTAAAGTGCATCAGAGACATGAGTTAGCAGCAAAAACAGTCATCACCCAGCCGCATAGCTGCTAAGGAATGAGTAGAACATGGGTAACTTCAAGCGCTGCTGGTCCTTGCGACACCAAGCTATAACATTTCCATCACTGTTAGCTGTGAACAAGTGATGACCATCACAGGAAAATGTAAGGCTGAAAAACAAGAAGACAATCTATTTTAATATCAGATTTGGCTATTTAAAATGCCAGAAGACATTCAAAACCTGTAAGAGTATAGCCAAAGATTAGCTCTCAGGGGAGGCCCAGTGAGTACATTAACATAGTAATACATTTGCATATAGCTGCTTATTCATTTCTGTAACCAAACAGGCTGAACTACAGCTTTGTCCAGCACTTCAACACGTCACACAGTTCAGTACTCATTTCTCTGCAGGGCAACAAAAGTGGTAGCAGCATCCTACGTTCTCCCTCAGCTGCCCCTTCTACTTCTGAAAGGAAGGCAACAGAACTCAGTGCCCTATGAACTTGCTTGCTGACAAAGGCAGAAACTAAACCCCTCAGATTTCACGGCACAGCACAAGACTTTTGTTCATCCGGGCATTTCTTGAGCTATAACAGTAGTAAAGCCCTTCAGTCGTGGCACGGGTAGTGTTAGAGAGCATGAAGGTCAGCATCCATTTTCTGTCTCCTTTAAGCAGGAAACTCTAAATTATTCAATAGCTACTAAGTCATTATCAACAAGCTTTGTGAAATATGCTTCTTAAAGGAGGTAACAGAAAGGCAATAACTGCTATCAGACATGTTTTTCATTCCTAAAAAATGGTGATTAGTGATTTGGGTTTTAAATGATATTTCAGCAATGGTAAAAAAAATTTCAGAGTGATTTGTTACTATGCTAACATTAAGATCATAAAATTTTGGCATAACTCTTAAGACCTCTGTGCAGACTACTGTACCGCTGGGGATATCAAAGACTCAATCCTTTGACCGTGTTCTGAAAATACGTTGGCATGAGAATAATTCTGCTTATATAAATCACCAAGGGGACTCAGAAAATTACACAAGCACTCCAAAATGGCAGCTTTCAGGCTCCTCCGAGTTTCCCTCACTCCTTTCTCCACTGTTTCTCTCCATCAGAAAAAAATGGTCAGGGAAAACGCAGTGTTTTCATTTATTTCTGAGGGAAGGAAAACCTCTTATTTGAGTCTGACAAAGTTAAGATTATCTCATGAGTTTTTGCACAGATTCTGGGGAAAAATATTAAACTTAAGAACAGGAAGAGTAGCTATTGTTCAGTTCTCAAGGGAATCCTGCTAATTTCTGCCAGCAGCAGAACCTAGTTATTACTGTCATTACAAATACAGTACACTTGTGCTCACTTTGCTTTCATGAATAATTAGTAGGATTGCATTGCTCTTTTTAGACATGGGCGTTTACCTCCTGTTCTCATGTCAAATCCACGTTCAACACTCAAAGCTATTTTGTTGCAGTTTTGGGGGTTTTTGGTGGTTTTTTGTTTGGTTGGTTTTTGTCGTTCATGTCTCCCCTCACCCAAGATAAAAAATTATTGTATACTTAAGATCTTTTTACCTTACAATAGGTTTGGCTGACTTCGAAAATGTTATTTCTCGTACTGGCTTCAAGTCCCACGTACTCCATAGTCTGAAAGAAAGAGTAATTTTTCTTCACATTTAATTTTACAAGTATTTTAGTGATAAGCATAACCTATTCAGCACCTACTGAGATTGGAAACTGAGCAACAGCTTGTCCACTTTCTTTAAAGCAAATATCAGCATGGTGTTTGGCTACATGCTCTCAAACCGTGAGCCTAAATTATAAAGCATTTTGATAAACAGAAGTTTCAAATGCTTACCTTACAACTCCATTTTCAAGCCCCCCTGCAATCACGTTGACAGACACTCCTTCGGGCTGGTTAGAGAAAGCAACAGAGCAAATACTTTCCCTGCAGTGTACGTGTCCCACGAGATCACCATTAACTGTCCAAAGTCTCAAATCACTGCCCCCTCCAACTGCAACAGAACATAGCATGGGAGTATTAAAAAATAAATCTAGACCACAGCTAGGTCTATGCAACCAAATCTTTAAGTGTTAAAGAATTCAACTTCTTGAAAGATCAGAAGGTTTAAATGACTCAGAGTAAGGTCTGCTGCAGTAAACAATTACCTCTTCCCTCCTTTTGTGACAGGGAGCATGCAAACCACTAAGCCACTGCAGTGATTTAGAAGACATCACTTCACATTTATGGAACATTGTACTTACACAAAATGCTATATGAATTTACTTTTAACGACCAATTTTTGTGTACTAACAGGGAAGTGCTAAGAGGGAATCCATACCACCTACTTTAAACAGCTAGTTCTTGTACTCTGGCTTGCATTTTAAGCAAAATACTTAAAAGTAGCAAGCACAGTTATCTTACCTGGTTATCTGGGATTATTTGATTCTATCAAAGAACTAATAATCCAGATACTGCTTTGTTAAAGGCTTGAAACTCATGTCCCCTACCAATTAAAGAATATAATCTTTTCCAGAAAAAAAACTGGTTTGTGAGCTACAGAAATGGAGTTGAAAAGTCTCCATGTCCGTTTAAAACCTAAGTATTAGGTTTCTGATACTGATAGAACAATTTCCCCTTGTCCTTTGATACTACAGACTGTGCTATTTTGCCTTTACCTTCCCCTCCTCTCCCTCCGATTTATAACAGTATTATTTTTAGTTCAGTCTATAGAAGACTACAGTAAGAAAAGGTGGCTAAAAGATACTTCAGTATGTAAGATCTATCATACTCAAGACAAAAAAGAAATAAAATTGGCCCAAACCAAGTGAGAATTGGGTCAATAACTGTCTTCTGGCAATACAGATAAGCAAAGTTAAGCTCTCTTCCTTCTTATTCTGCACCTCCTTGGATCAATGGAACAACATTCTGTCATTTAGATGGAGCCTGTTTCCCCCAGTCTCAAGTTAACACAATACACACAGGTATCCTTACAGACAGCAAAATGGTGTGAGGACTCTCACTTGGCCCTGCTTTACTGATACACAGTCTTGTAGCACACAGTAGATCTTCAAGTCAACAAGCATCCCAGTTTATGAAATACTCAAAAACCCAGTGGTCCAGTAGGTCTTAATGCCCTCATCCAGAAACAGTACTATGTGGAAAACAAGGACAATTGTGGAAGCATTTAAAATGAGTAAATAAAAATTCTGTTGTGCTGTAATACACTGTACTCCCCCAAAGAACTGCACCTTCGACAACAAATCTCTGTTAAAATGAAAGCACTCAACTTCAGAGATTTTAGGTCTCCCAAGGACTTGTTGAAATTTCAAGTTTTTTTATAAAGAGATCAAGCCATTAGCTTTTATATCTTTGCATTTTACTCAAACATCTGCCTAATCTTTTCTTTTTTGTATGTTAAAAAAAAAAAGAGCACTCCTGTTTGACCAAATGCAGCCTCAGATGATTAACACACACTCAGTAACTAATTTACTAGCAAGTTCTGCTATTTATTTGGTCTGCAAGTGACAGCAGCTTTCTTGACTTCCAAATATACCTGAATCACAAACTGTTGCAATATCACCAGTTGTTTCGCTCGCTGAAACTGCAGTCACAGGACTCTTGTGTCCAGCCAGACTCTGGACGTAGCACAGCCTGAAAACAAAAAAAAATAAAGAGAACAAGCCTGAAGTTCAGACTCAAACACAGAAAAGGTTCTTTGAGGAAAATATTTAAGAGTTATATTAATTTCAATCAACATTTTGCATTTTTCATATTAATTCTAGAATTTCAGCACCCTTCATGGGGAAAAAAAACAGTAAGGGTTTGACTTTACAGTAAGTCAGAAAACAGGTATTTAAAAGAAAATCACTGGAAAACGGTACATATATATATATACTTGTACCTGTTCAAATCCCATATGATGCAGGTTCCATCTTTGCTGACACTTATCATTATGCTGTATGGTTTGCACACAAACAAGCTTGTTATTTCTGCTGTGTGACCATACAGATGGACTTGTGACTCCATTTCTATCTCTGAAGGCTGAAAAACAGCAAGATAAAACAAGAACTCTCAGGAAAAAAAATAAATTAATATATTTTTTTCCTGACAAGGATAAGCCTCGGGACAAGTTTAATTCTTAGATCTCAAAAAGCAGTTCCCATTGATTTTAATATCATCAGTTTAGCAACATTGTTAATGCTTTATTGTGTTTAATGCTATATAATGTGATAAGCCGTACCTATCATTAATGTTCAACTTCTTGCTTCCAGTGCTTTAATCTAAGCAAACATTTTGATGTGGTCCAATGAACTGAAATGAAGAACTATTGTACTTCTTCTGTCTCAGTTACACACCTTGAAATCAGCTGATTTGTTTTCCGCAAGACTGCCACTTCCACATGACAGCAAAATGACAGTCCTCCCTCAGTATTTTAACATCTAGAGGAAGCACTTGGAAACACAGAAGGAAAACTCAGCTCAGCAGTTATCAGTCTCTGTACAGTAAATTACTGGGAATTCCTCGAGTTGGTGCCAAGCCCTTCAGTGATACCAAGTTGGAAAAATAGTCATTAAGTCAAGCTTAAATATAGAAACAGCTAGATAAAAATTAAAGCAGCAAATTTAACTCCAAATAACACTTCTTATTCAAGCTATATAATTTGAAATGATTCGGACTTCCTGAAAACTGGATAAGTTGAAGAAGCTGCTTAATCAGAATACTAACACTTTAATTAAGACAACTTGCTGTATAGAGATTATCCTAATCTTTGTAAAAGAAAGGAACATTTTTCTTCTTGTTTCCTCCCATGTGTCAGAGGACGTTGTCTGCATTTTTGTATGACGGTACATGATGCCTATAGCAGGTCTACAAAAAACTTGAAAGTAGCGACAGACAAGGTAAAAATACACATATGCTTAACTTTTCATTTGTAGAAGATTTACATGTCTTTCTGCACTAAAAGGGACAATATCATTCATGCAATATTGCAAAAAACAATACACTGAGTACAGGAAGACCTGCTATTTTGCTCTTCCTACTGAGCATCCCATCCAAACAAGACACACTTTGGAAAGTATCCAGTTATCAATCTCAGAACAGTGTGGTATCTCACATATGCAGATCCTTCTTTAATCTTTGCTCAGTTTAGAGAAAAAAAATTATATCAAGTTTTTCCATAACAGCAACAATCAAGACTTCTGATGAAGAACTGATTTTGATAACCCTTTTTTATTGTGCTCCTCCCATCTCCTTTAAGTGTTTGCTGTTGATCTGCATTTCAACACTTGAACTGAAAGCAGGATTCACCTTTAGCAGCTTCTCCCTATAGTACTAATAGCAATGGTTTATTGATTGTTCACTGGGTTATTGTAATAATACTGTAATGAGACAAGCTGGAATTTTAGCACTGACTGAATTAAGATCTAACAAGTTATGAGATAATTACCTCATGCCTAAAATACCATCCCCTTTTTTACTTCCCACTTGCTTTTAGATGACAACCACTGAAACAGTATCTAGATGTGGAAAAACCTTCAGGTATGTATGTATCTACCTTTAAACAGCAGTTTTTCTGCTGGTTACCCTAAATGGTTGCCTATAGCACTTGAGTGGAAAATTTAAACGATCACTGCCTAGTTTTACTCAAATAGATCATTAAAATGCTCTCTTCCTGTTTGCAAGACAACTCTAATAGCCAGCGAGTGAAGGCTGGAGTAATTTGTATGATGAGAAACCTTTGGATGAGGTTTTTAAGAAGGTATGACTTACTGTCAAGATAGATCACAGTTTCAAAGCAGTTCTTCATTAGTTTTTTTCCTATCTTAAAGGCTAGGAAAGACAGAGCATCTGAAGTACAACATGAAGATATTTTTGAATTCTGACAGCATGCTTTTGAATTCCCATATCCAATTAACAACATATCTGTTTTATGCATATGTGCTGAATTTATATAAATGTGAAACAGGGCAAAATATTCATGTTTCAAGTACTGCATTATAACAGACTGTTCACTTTATCACGGAACAGCTGACAAGATGCACACAGAACAGATGCTAGGAAGCACATTTGCATTCCCTGCAGCCCTGACTTGGGTAACTGACTCAACAACAGGAGCTACAAAACTGGCACAAGGTCAGTCTGCCTGCGGCATGTAAAACTGTCAGTGCTGAGAAATCCAGCAAAGATGGTCTCAAAGACAACATCTGTGCAGCTGAACAAAAATAATTTGTTTCTAGGAAACTCGGGGAACTTAAGAATCATAGCCCCACTACTAGAGTTTTTTTAACATTGCAGAAGGCCAGTATATTGAATTTCTATTTTAGTACTTTAAAAAAAAAAAAAAAATTAACTGGAATCCAAGTCTCTGTACAGGTTATTTACAAGTTTGCCATTCCGGTGAGCAGCTAAGGTGCCTGACTTAAGATCCAACTGACTGAAGCTTGCAGGTTTCAAGGTCTACTTATTTTTTAAACTCAAAGTGCTGCCAAGCTCAGGAAGTATGAGTGGCAGAAACTGGAAGAAAGCCAAGGAAGAAGTCACTGTATGTTTGTGCTCTTCCCAGTCTAAGCATCTGCTGTTGGCTACCTGAAACAGGAAACTGGGTAGGCAGAGCAGACCACACCAAGGTTCCCTCTAGCCCATGCTAGTGTAGTGATCCAAGAGCATCAAGGAGTACAATACTACAAATGTGTTTGCCAATACCTGTACCTGTATAAAGCTAAATTTGAGAAATCAATTTAGTTTAGTTGTTGCTATGGGTAATCGTGTAGACACACCTGAAATACCTGTCAAGAAAGTTGCAAACTCTTTGTTAAAACTATGAAGAGTAGAAGTTACCGCTGGAGAAAGTCAGACAGAAGCTCAGAAATTCAGTCTGAGCCGGAAGATTAATTTCAAGTTCTATTTATCCTTTCATACCATGCTTATTACTACATAGTATCCGGGCAATTTCTACTGTATCTTCCACTAATGCATTAAGTAATGCAAGTTACTTTTCTCCCTTCCTTCCTCACAGCTTTTCCCCTTGGGGAGCACAACAAAGCGGTGACACTTAGTGGTTAATATATACACTGTCTGAGATTTCACCCTGGCTCTCTGTAGTATAAGTGCCTTCTGCGCTTGAAATGTTGTTTACTTTGTGGAAATGCATTCCACAGTTTTAGTTAAAGCTTTGAAAGGCTCTGTCTCCTTCACAGAAAAAGTTACTTCTTAATGTAGGGAGCTTCATTGTGCCAGAGAGTTTCAGTTCCAGTCCCTAGCCTGCATACAGTCAGGCCTGTATGTCTAATCAGTTATGCACCCAGATGATGAGGGCTGGCTAAAGGCTAGCAGTATGTAAACAACAGCTTAAGAAAAACCCACAAATGAACATGCTAAGATAAATCTATTAACAATGTCAAAGAGGATCCTTCAAAAATAAATACTAAACAAGCACTTGATTCTTTTTAGCAATTGTCCTGGATGTAACATTCCCCTTTTTCTCCTTTTCCATTAAAAAAAAAAAGAAAAGAAAAGAAAAGAAAAAAAAAAAAAAGACTGTAACAGCTAATACAGCTAAGTCCAATGCAACGTACCGTACTGCTAGTGAATCTGTTCATATATGCTGTGATGACACCAGATTTACTACCTGTGAACAGCTGACAACTGTCTGGCACCCAAGCACAACTTGTTACCTTAGAAAAACAGAACAAAGACAGAAGAAAATTAGAACAGAAACTGTTCTAACTGCTGTTTTCACTATGCCATAATATTTGGTCAGACTGATTCTTTATTGCTTATCCTAAGAAAAGCTATGTAAAATACCTCAGCTAAAGAAATCCAGGAGTTAAAATATACCTGCTCTAGGTCATAGTTGTTATTACTTCAGAAACCAAGTAAAGAGGGAAATTCTACATAGCCCAGAATTCCCAGCTAAAGAGCAGTGAACTACTGCAGAGCAGTGAATCTACAGCCACATCATCAGCCAAAGTCTTTTTGGTAGAATCTCACCAACCATTGGAGCGTAACAGAGATCATGCAGTGCTTCCTAACAACCTTTTGGACAATCTTTTTCAGAGGAATCCTAAACTATAGTGGAGTTCTACTTCTAATGTGAGGCATCTGTAATTTTTTCCTGTATTCATTTTTCTTGGCCCAGAACTAAAATGCACAAAAATAAATCCACACCAGTGTTCCATAGGAGGGAAAAAAGCTACAAAAACCAAATGCATTCAAAAGGGATTTTTACCTAGTACAGGAACACAGCCAGGAAGGAAATATATCAGAGCAGTTAGGAGCACATTCCAAAGGAGTCTCAAACAGATTAAAAACAGTTGTGTTTGCGTGCTTATCTCCAAGAAAAATGAAAGCAAGAGTACCTACTGCCAAATCAGGCCACCACTTAAAATTAGCAATATTAAGTGGAAGACCAAGAGACTGATTTTTTTACCTGGTGGAACTGTGAACTCTGTATAAAGTTTATAGGAGGTTCACTTTGCTTGCTTTTCAGTCGCAAAATGTTATCGGCGTATCCCCAGCTCAGGATGGCCGACCACTGAATATCAGTACTGTGCATGCTTCTCACACCTGAAGGAAGGAATAGAATATTGTGTCACACGTGCCGCCAAAGAGTTCATCATTTTGATAGTCAACAAAAAAAAAAAATCTCAGGTCCATATCCACAAGCTGGAATACAAAAACCCCAAAGTTTCAAAATAAGGTATTTTCTGGCCGCCAAAGAGTTCATCATTTTGATAGTCAACAAAAAAAATCTCAGGTCCATGTTTTTCCACAAGCTGGAATACAAAAACCCCAAAGTTTCAAAATAAGGTATTTTCTGTTAGGCTCTGGCTTAATCTGTAATGTATTATAAATAAATACAGTTTTCAGAGACTATGTAAACATCCAGTGCTCTCCAAAGACAGTCTGCAACCTGGAAAAAGCTTTTTTAAGAAATGTTGCATCTGTTGGAAGTGGAAAAGAGGGGAAGAGGCTGACAGTACTTCCCAGCTAGAGAAACAATTGCTCATAACTTCAAGTAGGACATTACTTATTTTTGTTGATTAAATGTGAAGCCATTTATTTTTAGAAAACCTTCACTAGTACGCATTACAAAGAAAACAAGAGTACGAGAACCTGTTTGTACATTATCAATAAGAATCCCTCTGAGGAGTTTATCCGAAAGCAGAAGATCCTTCACCTCTGCTTTTTACTGATAACTTTCCTCATTCTCTGCCTCTAAAAGCCATTCCTTTAATTCTCCTTTCTGTTACCACATGTTTTTTTATCTGTTCTTCAGTTCTTCTTGGACTGAAATTTCTGGCAAGTTCTAAAGTTAAATCATCACGCTTCAGCCACAAATGAAAAATATCAACTTCATTACAGGATGCCTCTATGCAGTTTTGAAAATTACAAGTAAAATCCACTCTCCAGTAGAGATACCACACACGTAGAAGCTGTTACTGGATTTTTAAATCAATCTTTGGCAAAAGTGACTAAATTTGGGAAGTTTGCTCTAGAATAACAGTAGCACTAGCTTTAAATTCTTTATGGCTCATTTTCACACGTATTGTGCATGTAGACAATAAGCACAAATTCATACCTTGCTCCTTGCTGTATATCATCAAAAGGCAAAACTTGCGGGACAAACCGCAGATAGCTTTAGTTGGTAAAGCCTGGAGAGAGCCAAATCTTTCTCCATGTGGTTGGCTAAAGCAGACAACAGGATCTGGAGCACTTGGGGAACCAACGTATTCTCCCCACTTCAAGCCTTTTATCCATGGCAATGGACTCTTGAAACAAGCACAGATAAAGTTCAAATTAAAATGTGGTGAAAAGTTTTCAGAAAAATATTACTTCATTAGTAAGGGAGAATCATTCATATCACATTCTTGTAAGCAATCACATGGTAAGGACTGCTGAAGTATTCTGAAAATACAAGACAGAAGTATGAAGCACTGTAGTATGATCAGATAAACTATTAGCTTTAAGGGAGTTCTCATACTTGAGATAGCAAACTTGTAGTTCAGTGAAAAATACTGGTTTCCTTAAATGCAAGGATTCGGTTTTCTCACTGGAAAACAAGTGTTTGAAGTGAAGGAAATTCTCCTGTCCTATAGACAATAAAAAAAGTTGAGGATGAAAGAAAGCACAGTATGTCTTTACCTACGATGGGTTCGCACATAGATTCCAGAATTCATCATTGGAAGTATAAAGCTGGTTAAGTGAAATGCTTTCCAACACCTATTTGCTATAACTAAGATAAAGCCAGATCTATTGTGGTTTGATATAAAATCTCACAAATGCATGAAAATAATTTTCACTATCACTTTACTAATTTAGTGTATTTTCTTTACAGTACAATATGGGTAGTAAGTTGCAGCTTTAGGAAGGAAACTGTAAACACAAGGGTACAATAATTACAGCATATGAATGTTAATGAAACCATCTTGCAAATCACAGTGACATACCGGATACATTATTTCTTTAGTGTGTTCTCTGGTTTCTCTGAAAGCAAACTGCACTAGTAATCCCATGGCAGCAGGAAGTTCTCCCTCCATGATAAGCCTGGATCCAGCTCTGCTAACATGTGCTGCATGGAACAGCTGGCGAGGTGTCTGCCCATATGTTTTTATCATTGTTTCAAGGGCTCTTCTCTGAACAGGATCCTCAACAGCAGAAACATCCATCCCAAAATAGGTCTAGAGAGGGGGGTGGGAAAAAAGGGAGGTGAGGAGGGCCAAGAATAAGCTTGTCCAGTTTGTCTTTGGGAAAGATTTCACAACACATGCACATAAATTTAGAGGCAGACTCTTCAGTTGTTTGGTTAAGACCTGGATCAGAAGCCATCCCACAATGGCTGTGCTGACCAAAGAGCCATTGAGAACTGTAACCTTGCCACTGCTTCTTTATTGGAGATAACTACCCCTTTAAGATTTATCATGAGCTGCTCCTAGAGGTATTCCATGACTAGTTTCTGTCAAAGAGGTTTTCTTAGTAGACCTTTACTGAGTGGTGCAAAAACAGTAGGGTTGCAGATTATAAACAAAAAACAAAAAAAAAAGAAAACCTTGTTTTCCGTACCTCTTTTTAATTAACATATTAAAACTCTGGTTTGGGGTGGGGAGGGAGCAAGAACCTTCACATTTCAGGAGAGTGGAAATTCTTTCCTTTCTCTACTTGTCTTTTTCATGTGTCTCTAATTGTGTACCACATACTTTTCCTCAGACTGAGAAAGGCTTTGACTTTTCACTTTAAAAAGAGTGAGCACACTCACACAAATTTAATATTTGAAATTTCAGGTAATAACTGAACCAATGCTTAAGCACAAAAAAGAAAAAGGAAGGAAGGCATTTGGAAAGATACTTCAAAAGAAAAAGCCACCACTGAAACACTACTGTTTTATCAGCTTTTCCAACTATAGAATGAATACTGAACATTCAACACATTTGAATGTATTTGAAACCAGGACTGTCTGGCTGAGCAAACCTTGCAACAGTAAGGTTTGAAGCTAAAGAATACAGAGATATCTGCATTACAATTAAGTAGTGAAACTCTGGAATTCTTTACATTAAATGAAGACTTAATTGAAATTATATTTACTGAAGGTGAAAGTGGTCATTAGAGGGACAAAACACAAGAGGTATATGAAGGGAAGAACACAAATAACAATCACAGGACAAACTGAGCTAATTTAATCATATCAAAAGCTGCAGCACAATCTGTTAAAATGGAAGGCTGCTTCTGAAGGAGATGGAAGCAGGAACACACAAACATAACACCTGTATACCACTGCAGACAGCTATCCAGAAAGTTTAAATACCAAACCCGGTCATCAGTCATGCCTATCTCGAGGCAAGAAAGATGAACACGAATTCACCAAGTCTCACAACAGCCCCTGGGATCTTATCAGTTCTGCACTGAAATGGTTAAAGCCTTTTCCTATTCTTCAACACTTTACGAGCAAGGGATCTTGCTTCATGCTGGTTGTTTTCCAAGCAGTTAGACTGAACTTTCCCCTATTAAGTAAGTTACTAAATACAATGAACAAACACATGGCTTAACAAATACTTACTGCAGGATGAAAGACATTAATAGCCTGAACAGAGGCCTTGCCTTTTTGCTTATAACCAAACACCAAGTCAATCCAGTGACAGATTGTTTGGGAAACATGGTCAGACTCCAAAGCCTGACGATGAATCAGGATGAACAGACGAGGATCGTTACGAGCCCAGGGTGGAAGATTGACATGGTTAACTCTGTCACCATTCTGACGTACTCCAAAATCGAAACCTAGAAACAAGGCGGGGTAAATGTTCCAACGTTCTAGTTGACAGTAACTTCAAAAAGGTCTTTATAGGGTTCTATGAAAGCTAACCATTAAGCACAATGATTGCTAATCAACAAAGCAGCACCATTAAAAAGTCCTCCCCCAAACACATTCAAGCTGTACATACTCATTCAAATGGAAAAAATCAGACAACAGGAAACTCCTTTGCACCCCTGACATAATTATGAAAAAACTTCCCTTAAGTCCTACATAACAGCTTTTGTAGCATATCCTGCAAATTCATGCCAGATTTCTCCCATACATTCACAGTTTAGCATATTCAGTCAAGGGATATAAACGTTCTCAGTTTCAACCCACAGGCTCAACCATACAGCTGTTTTGGGTATATAGTTTTGTTATCCTCTTAGTATACCTTCTCTGTTAACTAGAAAGTCGGGAAGGTAGAAGAATTCTGGGATAAGCTCCTTTACATCAGTCATTGATTCATATGAAGAAAGGCGCCAGGTTGTATTGGTAGAGTGAAAAGTTCTGTCTGGGATGTCAAAACTTTGATCTGTAAAGAAATCCAAACTGAATTTGTTACATCGATGATGGACATAACAGTTGCACATCTGCAACTTCAAGTAGCTAACTGCTCTCCAGTTAGCTGAGAACATTTAGAATTCTTCTATCTCAATTACTGTGTTACACATGGATTGCAAGTCAAAGATAGGTGAGATTTTTACTCTACATACCCTAAGGTATAAATGCAAGATGTACAGCTTTATGGTCTAGCTCAATAATTTCAGAATGGGTCTACTGTGAAAGCATATAGAATTTAATTTTACTGAAGTCTGCTCTTTGGAATTGAATAACTATGCTCAACAGAGTAACATACAGCACTCCTGGATCATTGGGACAAGGCCCAGACACGAAAGGCAAGTGCAAGCGAAAGTGACCTTACCTTGATAGGCTAAAAACATTTTAGTAAAAGGTGGCAGCCTAACTAGGAAATGAAGCACAGTTCCACTGTTGGAATAATGAGATCCATAGTGATATGGTTGTACAGGGGGCATTGGATCATCCTCTCGTGCTCCTTTACGGTACTCTTCTTCCAAATACTAGAAAAGTAGTAGGGGGGACAAGAGGGAATAAAAATCACAAACCTCCTACTTAAACTGTATTCCAATAATGAAAACAAGATTTTGCACAAGTTGTTTAGGAATAAAACTTAAAACCTTCAGAGGAACATACATTTAAAAGTGATCTGAAATCAAATACACTTGAAGTGTCTAAAGACATGTGATCACTTTTACAATCCAGCTCAGCATCAAAGTCTTAAGCCATTTAAATGACCTGTTTTCTGTCATTTATTACTTTTGCTTCCCCCTTGCCCCCCTTGTTTTCCAACATGGCGTAGTCATTACACAGGCTTTTCAATCCTAAATGGAAAAAACAATATTTGCAAATAATAAACCAGACCATGATGACACAGACTTAAGTTTGGAGGTCTAGCTGCAGACACTTTAATTTCTAAGCATGTTATTTCCTACAGCCTTTAAAACACTCTAAAGAGCAAAAATCAAAAAGCACTGTAATCATAGTAGGGCTGTGGAAATAACAGAGTACTTGAGGGAAAACAGCTTTTCTGTTATCAAACAGAAAGAATAGCCACAACTTCCACTGAAGTAATTTCAAATAAACAGCAATAAGTTACCTTCCTGATCTTTAGGGAAATTTAAGTATATGTATGTTCATATGTAAGATACCACCACTTTAATCTCCTCAGCAGTATCACATGGAAAGACTAAATTGATTATGGTTTCAGGTATAGAACAGACAAACATAGGTTCCAAGCATGTTCCAAAACAATTCCCAGGAAATGTAACATACTGGCGATGAGAATTCCATAGACATAAAATACTGGATTTGTGGTTTCTTTTCTCCCCTCAATATATGTTAAAAAAATTAAAGCCTGTGTCATTTACAAACAAGAAAAAGGCAAGAAGCAAAAGTTAGCCAAATTACCTTGTAAGTATCCACATATCGATCCTCTTTTTCTTTAGACTGGACAGCTATCGGTTTGACCAGATTTCTGTAACAGAAGTTGTACTGATATCTTGTCATTTTTATAAAGATGTTGATTCACACCATTTAATAATGCACTATTAAGAATAATGCCTTTAATTTAATGAAAAGGCAAGCAAAACTTAACAGCACTTTACAAGAGAGTTCAGAAAATAAGGCGGCCACTTTTAGTTAACGCAAAAGGCAAAGTCAGATCCGCAGGCTGACCCACAGCACAGTAAGGGGCAAGCAAATGCAAAGGCCCTCTGTCAAAACAGAGGCACCGCATAAAGGCAAAGACTTTGTGCACTCAAATGTTAAATTGGCTTGACAGAAATTTATGAGGGTGGGACAATTCACTTGGATCTATTCACAATGAAGACAATACAATTTCGTAACTGGCCAGATAATTTACTATATTATTTCATTTTCTACTTAATTTTTGCTAATTAGCCTGAAGTCTTTAATTACACTAATTTAAACATACAGCTTTTATTTAAATCTGTGGACTCTCAATTTCTTATTAAGACAGTATATAAGTCCAACTCATAACATCCTTTTGAATATACCCACTCATAATACTAGGCATTTTATTTAAATATCCAAGGTGAAGCAGTCACTTATTGTAAAAAGCCCAATTTATTACGGATGAAGCTTTTCCTTGAATAGTTCCATTTATGTATGTGTGCAGTTGAGTACAATGAAGTTAAAAAGCTATACTGGACAATCAGTTCAAGTATTTGGAAAAAATCAGTTCCAAACATTTCGTATTACCTATATACTGATGGATCATTTAGGTCCAGCGTTTCATTGGTGTAGTCGGAAAGTATAAAAGGAAATACTGGATATTGCATGAGATCATTGAAGGAACGGCCCGCATGTTTGTTTAAATGAGTCAGATATTCAAAGTTAGTAATCTGTCCTGTGCACCACAGGTGGGTCAAAGCAGTAATGTTTCCATATTCCAAAAGGTTAGGCAAATTGTTAGTTAAGATGTTGTGGTACACATCATCACGGACCTAGAAGAAAATACCACAGATTTAATCGTATAATTTAAAAAGCTTCAAACTAAGAACACTTAGTAAGTTTCTGTCATTTTACAGATTTCCAGATACCTGCTGTAATGGAATAATATTTAGTATTACTAAGATTCTTTAATGTCTTAATACATCAGAGATGTGTTTTACAACATGATTGTGTTTGTCTAGAAGTCTGGCTGAGCGCAGTTTTTTCAAAGGTATTAGACAGAATTTAATTAGTCCATGCAACAGGTCTCCTTAAAAACTAATGCATGAATGTACATGCTATGAACACACAGCAAAACACTTTGATATATTTTTATGCATCAGTGCCACATTACCTTTGTATTATCAAAAGCCAAGAGTAAAGTTCTGCCATTTGTCAGAAATATTTCCACAGCATTATCTCTTAACTGCCACCAGCGCTTATGAACTTCCTTAATTTCCTCATAGGTCCAAGAAAATGATGCTGGTTCAGTTTCTCCATGAAAACTCTGCAGAATTTGCAATTGAAAAATTTATTTTAAATAGATTTTCCAAACAAGAAACCCTTAAATACAGGCAGATTATACCACACAGCATATCATAAGATAAGCTTTAATTTTGCTGTGATGCTTTAAGACACTATTGTGTTTTTCTTCATACATGTTTCCCACCCTCCAACTCTCCTCAAGGCAGTAGAAAGAACATTATGAATGCTCCTCAGCCACTCTAGTTCCCTGCCCAACACTTGCACGCATACTTTCACTGGCTCTTAAGCTAAAATACTGGAAAGCCAACTAGAGCAAGCAAAGCTTTGCCATGAATCCCAATTCTGACAGTTCTATGAAGGACAAAGCAGCGAAACAGCTGATAACATCTTAAAACACAGGAGCTGTGTGCTTAGTAGATACAAGGAAAAGCTCCCTGAAAATAGTTTAAAACTTCCAGCAGTATAACACATATATTTTTATTTTTTGAAATTTCTTCTGGATCTATAAACTGAAATAATATATCAGAGCCTTTGTATATGAGAAGTATTAGATCAGTTCCAGTTTCCTCCATGAAACAGTCCCTCTTGTATAGCATAAGGGAGGAGCTAGAACATCCCAAATAATGCAAAATTCAAGAAACAGATGCTGTGGAGTACAGCACAACTCATAACACTTGTGAGTTTCTGTACTTCCTAGTGCTCCAGCTTCCAGTAAGGCAAGTTATCTCAGGTGCAGACCAAAGCAAGCATTATGCACTTACGCTGATGAACTCGGAGCAATGAAGAGCAAGGTGCAGAAGCCTCCCCGCATCGCCCCCTCTTCATTCCCCTCCAGCCCCAGGCCAATATCTTTCCCATTTTCTGCTATCGCCGCTAATTCCACAGCCAGGGGCAACAGAAGCAACACTGAACCCAAACTAACCACTTTGGCTGGCTTTGTCCAGAGACCTCTAACTCTAGTACTCCAGCAATCTCAATGGCAGTAGGCAAAAGCTACTCATGGTCATAGTTTGGAAAAATTAAAGCTGGACTATATGCTCTGATACTTACCAAACCTTCAGTTGTGTCTGAAGCATTGTCTTCAACAAAATACATGCCACATTTTCCTGCAGGAAAACACAGTTGCAAAGAGGTACATGATATTACTATTTGCATAATGCATCTTAGTGTTATATAAACAGTGTCCAGGAGTTAAGAATACTAAGAACAGTACCTGGGTAAGACAGTACTTGACAGAAATAGAATTTATCATTCCACATCTTTTAGCAAGTGGTCTTCAACTTTAAAACTTAACTACAATCCAAACAGCACTCACACAAACAGTAGGGAAGAAAGGCAAAACTGATCTATAAAATCTATAAACCATAAGAAGTGAGGCAACAGCTCAGTTACTTAAAAAAATCAGCCAAGTTTATAGATACAGCAGAATCTTATATAAAAAAGGTATTTATAAGGCCTGAAAATTCTACTTACCTAGCAACAGTTCACCAGCAGTCTCTCTAGAAGGTGCTACACTTATACATCTTCGATTAACTCTGAAATATTTCAAAGTGTATTATTGCTTATGGATTTACATACCTTTTGGCACGTACCTAAAACTAACAGCCTCAAAGGCTGCAGTTGAAGAAACATCATGGCTCTAATGGTTCAAATCCCAAAGAGAGAAAGAAAATAGAACCTCAACTTTCTAGACTTGCATATTAGTGTATTTGTATTTATTTCTTTGTGTGATCTCTGCAGTTATTTTAGGCAGTGTTAGTGCCTGTAATAGGTGCCACATTGACACAACTGCAGAGATGAATACCACAATGGTAAAAGCAGAGAGGATTAAAACAGAATTTGCTTTTGAATGCTGAGGGAAAGACCTACCAGATCTAGTAGCACTGCCTGTCCTAGATATCTAAGTGACAAATAAGTAAAAAGATCCTATCAGGTTATCCCATGGAAGTCACATCCCCATATCACAACAGATGGTATTTGCTTTTACTGATGTTAGAAGTCATGGCAATAGACTGTTTTAAGACTCACAAAATGTACATGTTGGTAGCTTTGATCTTTTGCTTATGAGTATAGCAAAAAACCTACCATTTTTGACACTTGTCTCTTATATCACTTGATATTTTTTTTAATGTTTATTTAGACAAAAGAACGAAGAGAACTGTTTCATTGGAAAGTGAGAAGGTGGGAAAGGGAGGTAAGTGTTACCCAAACCTTACCTTATATGTTCACTTGCAGCTTTGTCCTTTACAGTAGAAGAGTGAGAAGAATATGTTTTGTCTTCAAACAGATAAGATAATGGAGTTTTTATCACACCTATAAAGAAACCACAAATAATAAGGCACTAATAGTCATTACAATTCAGATATATTCCTAGAAGATGCTATAATTACCTTCCTGTTTCTGCCTGTCTGGGAGAAGGTACTTGTTTGGAATAGTTAGGTAGCATCTCTGCAAGCGGCGCCTCTCTCTGTTTGGGCCCTCTGTTGGATCCAGTTGCCAAGAAGTTGGGTAATAGACTGGGTCATACCACAGTGCTCTGGAAAAAACAAAATACGTTAACAGTTTGGCAGCAGAGGCAGTATATATGCTTATTCATTCTGCTTTTCTTTAAATAGTAGAAAGGCAGAAATTTCACAGTAGTAGACCAGGCAATTACTTCTGAAAAAAGTTTCGAGAGACTGAATTCTGTAGTTTATTTTCATGAGCTACCCCACTAACTGACCACTCAAGAGCTACTAAGACTGCTCTTGAAGTTACCAGTTCTGATGAAAACAGCAATATAATGCATTCAATACTTATGCATTATTTTGAAAACTCAGCTGCTGCAAACATGACATAATACTAGTTCTGCAGTGGTGTGGTGGTTTGGGTGGATTCACCCTTTTGCTTGCAGCCTGCAGCCAAACACAGCCTGCTCTATCCCCCCCCCCCCCCCCTCACCCAGGGAGCAGGGGAGAGAATTTGGAAAGAAGGGCAAAGACTCACGGGTTGAGATAAAAACTATTTACTAATTAAAAGAAAATGATAATGATAAAAACAGTAATAACAGACTATCTTTCTGCCAGAGGCTTTTTTATCAGCTTTTTTTTAACGGCACACGCCACGGGGCACACTGTGGTTTGAACTGCGTGACCACGAAGAGGACAACCTTCCCCAATAGAGGCGGGTACCGTTCATTGGTCAAGTGGAGGGGTGTCCCTATACAAATGAGTGATATACAGTGCTCACCGCCCACTGACCAATGCCCGGCCTGTGCCAGCTAACGATCCCGCAGCCGAGACGGTCCCGAACCGAAACCCTGGAAGAGTGAGCCCGAGCGATCCCCGAGAGAAGTGCCCCGTCTTCCGGTCACCCCTGGTTAATATACTGACATGACGTGATATGATATGGAATATTTCATTGGCACAACCAGATGCCAGTTTTGGGTTTTGCTCCTCACTGCGCTTCCCCCCTCCCAGTCCTAATGCAGCTGTGAAGGAGCAAAAAACACGGTGGCCTTGAAGCTACAGCAACACAAGTACTGTTATCAAAGTTCTTCTCGTGATATGTCTGAACTGAAACACTGAAAGTAAAATACTACTCTTCTAATTACTGAAAAGAAAATTAACTCTACCCTAGCAAAACCAGGACAAGTGGTAAAAATACTCTGTTTGGTTTCTTATCAAGGCTTAACACCTCTTGCTCTATGCAGATTAGTGAACACAGTATCTGGATGCTAATGTGAATAAACATCACCCAAAAAATGCTTTGTTACTCCATAAATGTAATGGCAGATATGAAAATTTTATTACCTGCTTCATTCTATTAGGCACAGCAAAATGTATCTGACAAACAAGCTGTCTAAATGGCACAGAAATACTACTTGGCTACTCACCCTAAAAAAATGGGAGAATAAATCAAGTATTTTACAAGTCTTTAACCATCAGATTATTAGCAAGAGTAAGTAATTCTAATTTTATTATCATCTACATTTCACATGCCTCTAAGTAGAATGAGAAGCACATGTCAGGCATTGAGTGTCTCTTGCTTTTTCACTGAGGTGAGATAACAACTTACCGATCATGGGTAAGCTGCTGAACGAGTTCCTGCCAATGTCTGCTGGCACTCAGCTCTGCCTTATACATCCCCCTGATGTGCTGGATTACTTTCTTCCTTTCCATTCCTTGTGACAGAGACACAGCTTGTGTGATGTCTCCAGCTATTTTAGAAATGTCTTTAGATTTTGTATCCAGACGCTGAAAGAGACTGAGAATAAAGAGTTATGTTTTAAAATGTCAAATAAACACACTGAAAAGGGAAGGCAAGACACTAAAACCCCCTATAAAATACAATCAGTTTGACAGTAGATAGCCATAGTTCTTGTTACAGCAGATGCACAGCATCTTAGCTTACATGATTTGCACAAGACTCATTAATATGTTCTGCTTCTAAAAAAAGCTACTTGTAGCCAAAGACAAGACAAGCCAATCAGAAGGCCAATGGCTACATATTAGCATGCTTTACTGATTAACATATAGTCATTACAATAAAAATCTGAAGGAAGAACAGTAATTTACCACTGCTCAAATCTCTTAAGTTATCCAACATAGTAAAGTCTTATCGCTTATCTGGACAGATTTGACTAAACTGACCTTTATAGCTACTACAGTTGCCTACATTGAAGCATGTTGTGTGTGCATCTCAGATCTGATTTTTATGACAAAGTCTGAAATGTAAATTAATGGAAAGAACCTCTTAGTCTACCACAAGCTACCAAAGTTTACATTACACCAAGTAGCAGCAGACTACGTAGCTCACAAAAGCCATGCTGAACATAATGATTTTCATTGAAGATAGGGGTTAATTGCAGGGACATTTGCCTTACATTTAATTGCACAGAGCACAGCAACACAAAAGGTGACTGGACATATACAGTAGCTGTAAAACTAGGGGTGAAATGGTAAATGTGCAGAAACTGAATCAGTATTCTGAAGTTCACACAATGCCATTTATTGTACAACTTATACAAGAGGCATATACCTACAATCAAGCTGTTTTTATAATAATAAAGAAAATAAAAAGCTAAAAGCTACCAGTGCTGCTAATCTGAAAAAAATATCTATAATAATCATATTGGCAACTCTGCAATGGGGTGTGAGAATATTCTTACAAAGTTCTTGCAGCCTCTTTAAGAAGGCACTTACTTTTGTCGATTATTAGCCATCGTCTTCTCCCAAGCAGCTTTGTTTACACCCTCTTCCATCTCATATTTCTTCTGATCCTGAATGGAAGTTATATACATTACTTCTTTTCCCCCAGACAAAATAAGGAAGCAGAGGCTAAAGGACATGCCAATTTAAAAAAGGAAGACTGACAAAACTGTTTGACTGATATCTTCATAGCATTTGAAACATTCAAGATTTTGTTTCAGTTACTGCAATTATATTTAGACATGATCTTATTTTTTTTTTTTTTTGCAAGGAACCATAAATAATTATTTTTTTCATAACAACGAGAGATACTAGTGGTTTATGATGAACTCTCACCTTTGCCTGGCTTAAGTAATATGCTTAACTAAGAAGCGTTAACATGTGAGAATCACAGAATGTTGGGGATTGGAAGGCTGTGAAGCACTGAGTATGTGACAGAAGTATTCAGAACCCAAAGAGAATCCCCTAAAGCATAAGCTGTACACCAAAGCAAACAAATAGCAGATAATTGTCTCAAATATACTCAGTTTTTGAAGGAAAGTTTATTCACAAACCTCTTTCAAAGCTTTTATTAGATCTGGCTTTGGTCGTGGACTCAGGGGAATGCATTTATAGCCACAACATTTTAATGTATTTAGAAAGTCTCCTGCTGCTCTTTGTTCTTCTTTGGTCATTTCATCACTGTGATTGTGCATCAACTCGTATAAATAGAGCACTAGTTTAGGTCCATGCTAGAATATGAAAGAAGGGAAGAGGGGTCATTCTCATCTACACAATGAAACACTGAGCAGTTTTTTCCTTCTAACTTTATTCCTTTTCTAGTCAGCCTGGACAGATTTCATCTACTCTTTCTGTGATTTAAAGAAAATGGCTGCTTCAATGCTTTAAGACAAACTTTAATAAACTAGAAAGAACATGCTTAATTTAATTCTCCACATGATAAAACTTCCCCAGCATCTTGTGACTTTTCAAATGGCTTACAGGAAAGTTAAGTTTCTTTTCCAAGTAAGCAGCTCCTGCAACCTTGTTTACACTTCAGGAAATATGTGCCAGAGACCCCTAATTTTGCCTTATAAGAATATTATAACTTGTTTGATTAATGAAATTAGAGCTGGCAGATAATGAAGTTAAGCAGACAGAGACCATAAATGCACTCAACATGACACTCTCCCAAAGAAGCCATTGCTAGTATATCAGCTTTTCTTACTGGTGGAAGTGTTAATTTAACTGAATAACACGTATGTGATTAGCAACACGTAAGTGTCATAGGTTCATCCAATAAGTACTTTCTGTCTTTAGTATTATAGTGACTCAAACTGTGGCATGTCTTACATCATTTATTTCATTCTGGCAGTCCCTGAATATCTCAAACAGCAACATTCCTACTCAATTCTTGATTATGGCTCTAAGAAATGCTTTCTCTCAAGCTTGCACTAACACAAAGTACAATCAAAAAAGCTTTTTACTGACCAACCCAGAAAATCAGGGAGAAACTGTTTAGCTATTTGACTTAAGAACATAGAATACACAATCCCACTTTAAGAATTAATAAAGGCTAAATAAGAAAAGATAGAGAACTGCTTTGATTGAGGACTGACTGCATCTTCAAATCTAGCGGCAATAATTTCTTACAAGTTTCAAGAAGTCTGCAGTCAGGGTTCCAAGGCAAGGGTAATTCCTCCATTAATCTGCTTTTTCAGGGTACCTTAACTTCTAGTATTCTCAGTAAAATTCTTCACATTAAAAACCAGTACCACCTTTTGTTTCTGTGCTACACAGGAGATGTGATGTTTGATGTAAACAGAGTCAACATACCCAGACATAATCCTACCTTGCCTCTTATAAATCTTATCTACCCTCAGTACAACGTGGCAACTGCAGAGGTACACACAAGCATTTTGTATGACATAACTTTGTCATTACACTGAACATTGCTAAAACAGCAGTGAACAACTTCAGCCCTACACAGTTCTAAACACTGGTGACATTTAAACAAAAAAAATTGAATACAGTTTTTACAAACTCCTCTCTTGAGCTTACTTGCAAAGTTGGGCTAAGACAGTCACGCATAATCTCTTGATGATTTACTTCAGGTACCATCTCCAAAGCCTGCTTTCTCTCTTGCAGTGGCCTTGCTGGAGACAAGTTGTGCACAAGAAGTCTCCCAAGTTGCGTACGGAATGTGTCCCTACATGACAAGAGGATTCTCTTCCACTGCTGCTTTGGTGTGCTCATTCTGCTAGTGCTCTAAGTAAGAGAGACATTTTTATTTTTTAATATTACAGGGTTAGGGCTTTCACATTACAAAACAAACAGTTAAAATAATCAAACAATAAAAATTTCTCTAGTAAAATAAAGTGTTCAACTTTAGTTTAGTTATTATTATTATTATTATAGTTTAAAGGGCGTTCTACTAAAAAGGAAAGAAAGGACTGTTCATTCTGACAAAACAAGTCTATTTTTCTCAATCGGCCAATATTAGGAATGCAGCTCCTAGGTAAACTGGATATTCAGTTAGAGAGACTATACAACAATTCAAAAAAAGTAAAAATTGTGATGTAAAGGGTTTAAAAATCAGAGGGTTATTTTCTTTGCTTATTTTAATGAATAGCCCTTCTATATTAATCACTAGTTTCTGAATGGATTACCTCAAAAGTTTAAAAACCAGGCATTAGATTGAGGTGCTTGTACTCACAAAAAGAAACCTGTGGTCTTTAAAAAATACTACAAGTACAGCATGATGGGAAGATAATAGACCTAACAAACCTAATTTTCTAGAGCTAGAAAGAAAATCAGGTTGAGCTACTTTTTATAAAGATGACCTAAGAGAAATAAAGAGGCAAGAAGCAGTAAGTTAAGTTTTCCAATAAAACCATTTCAAATTAATCAAGTGAAACGTGATCACCTTGAAAATGTTGACAAGCTAACATCTGTACACTAGAAGAGAAAACTCTCAGACCTTTAGCAACAATTGAAAAAAGAGAAAGTTCCCCTTCCCAACTCTAAAATATATTATAGACAAATTGCTGCAAAACCCTCCATCAACTCTAGATGCACAGCAGATCTTGTTTCATAGGCTCCAGCAAGCTTAAACCTTGAGGTTTAAGAGAGAAAGCAAATTTGTGGACTAAACAGAAGTCTATTTAACCTTTGTATGATTGTTCAAGGAGCAGAATTCTGCTAAATGTTAAGGTAAAAATCAGAACAGATGCATTCATTATTTTACAATTGCAGAATAACTGGGAAGCTGAACAGAGATTTTAATGCCACAGCTAAATTGAGAGAGGCAGTAAGAAAAGCATTTATGGACAGAAGACTTTATGCATTAGAAGTTCCTAATAAAGGAACCTTATGAGATGTGCTTCAACATGGACAACATCTAAGTACTTACAAGGGATACTTTGATTCCTTCCACCAACATTTTGAACATTTCTTTAAGAAAAGGATTTGTTCTGCTAGGCAGTTGTTGCTGGCTTTCCTCTTCAGGGGCTTCCAGCTGGGAAGCTGAAAGTCTGCTTTGACTTGTGTTTTCTGTTATACCAAGTACATCAAGGCACTCTTCAGTAGATGCTTAAAATTTAAGAGGCACATATTGATCAGTACCATCTCAAGCAAGACAGTCCTATGATCCTTTAGTTTGCATTAAATCAAACACTGTCTTTACTACTACACTTACCATAGTTACTCTTTCTCTTCCTTATGTGTAATTTGACCTTGCCCCCAAAGTCATCAAGTCTTACTAATAAATGTAGCCATTTCAGAGAAACATGCAAACTGGTGCATTTTAAGAGAGCAGATGCTCCCTTTGGCAGAGGTAAATCTCCAGGTGATAATTCAGGCAGTTAGCATATGAATGGACTAATGTAGAATTAAAACAACTTGTTCAGTTCATTGAGATAAAAATTGTATCCAGATTGCCAGTTACATAATCCTGAGACACAAGTCTCCAAGAGAATGATGTTTTATGGTTAAATCCATTAAACTAGTGTCAATGGCATTACTTTCAAATAATTCAACACTCCAAAAGCAAGAACCCATTTTACATATAGCACTACACCAGCTCTGTCAAAACAAACAAACAAAAAGAAATCCTACCTAAATAAATCAGCCTGTTAACAGCTAGAACAGTCAGCCTCTGTAACCTTTGTACAAACTCAGTCTCAGTGGCTTGGATAGGATTTTCTTGGCTCATTCTCCGCTGCATCATCATGTTGAATTCCTCACTTGCTAGTGAGCGCATTTTCATCAGCAGAGCATCAGACTGAGCAAGTGAAAACTTTCTGGAGCCTTTAAGTAGAGAAGCATTAATAACACCCGACTAAAATGCACAAAGATTTAATCACTCAGCAACTGCTTTCATCTAAAGGGTTCACATCATTTAAGGAAACAAAACATTTGAAATACATTAATATTGAAGGGAACACAAGTGTCATTTGGGTGTTTGTCTCTCTTTTAAAAGCTTTTCTATTTGAAATAAATATATAAAATTAAAAAAATACCATGAAATTACCTGGTCTCAAGATGTTGTACAACTTGCATATTTTTATGTAAAGCAGATTCTAAAACAAGTTACTTTTATTCCTGTTTTTACTATGTAATTAGAATAAAAGATTAAAAATTAATGATACAACAAAATTATTGCATATTGGAAAGTAGCTTTATCAGCACAAATGAGAAACCAGTTATATTAACAGCTTATAAACAAACACATTTTGTACCATACCCACTGCCACTAATTTTGATAGAAGTACTATTTCTAACTTACAAGAACATTCCTTAAAATTTTATTGAAATGAACTGGTGGGCCTTGACTTTACTTACTTCTTTTGGAAATATTTTTTTTTTTTAAACTTATCTTTAGTGCCTTACCAGATTTACTAATATAAAAATATTTTCACTATATTTACTTAGCTGATGGAGAAGGGCCTCAAAAGCTGACCATATCAAAAGAAACATTCCCACAGGAAACGGGGAATAATAGTGGCATTTGTTGTTGTTGTTGTTTGTCTGGTTTTGTTTTGTTTTTTTAACCCTCAAATACATGTAAGGTTTTTAAATTATGTCTTCTACGAAGTCGTAAATGCAGCTTCATTTATATGAGATACACAAAATCAATTTCCAGCTAGAAGACTAAAACCTTTATGGAATGATTCACAAGCTACCAAATACAGGGAAAGTATTACTGCTAAAGCTAGAACTGTACAAATGTTTTACGAGCACAGCCACAGTGGAATCTAGGAACCTTGCATTCCCAACTATAAGTCTGGAGTGCCAGGTATTTGCTTCACTAATTAAAAGTTGTGCAACAATACATTTACCCACATCAGAGCTGTGTAAAAGTTACAAGCATTAACTTCGTGAAGCTGACTATTAAAACCACCATGAATTACTTTAAAAACATCTTTACTAAGCAATTTGTGAATCAAAGAGAATCCCAAAAGAAGGTAATATCTGGGTTTAGATACCACAGTGAGAAGGTGACTGAGGTTTCATTTTTGTACCCCACTCCTTCCCATCCTAATATAAAAACCACAAGTTCAAAAGGGGTATAAGCTACACTACTCTAAAAAAGTGTGTATATATATATTTATAAAGCAAATCCACAGAAAAAGCAATTCAACAGGACTCATTTGTCATATCATCGAAATTACAGTTTGCAAGTAATACCGTGCAGGAGGAAGTACAAGAACACTACACTTTTGCTACTCACCAGCAATGCCTTTACGCTTTTGAAACATTGCACGATGTGCTGCAGATGGTGACGGGACTGAACCAGCCTGGTCCTGAACATCTTGGTTTGCTGTAGTTTTTATTAATTCAATAGCTGCTTGAAGAACTCTCAACTGCAGAACGACTGCCATATCTACAGAGAGAGGTATACAAAGGACGCATGACATTCTTTACACATCTCCAAGAATTTTTACCAGATGTTTGTAAAAAGTAGAAGAACACAAAATATGTCAAGAGCTGTAAAACCCTCGATTCCATTGAAGTCACCTAGAAAGTCACCTCACTATTCCACAGATACAGTGAACAAGTGAGTTCTCATGGAAAAGCCATTGGATTTGATTACTATGAAATTAGCTACAGGAAACTGTATAGAACATTTCCATTTAAATTCTCTCAATGAACTTTTACAGTCACTGTTTGTTCAGATTAGCAGTACACAATTCTCTACCACAAGGCAGGCTCCTGAGGAGAGCTACTAATTTGAGAACCATCTAGAAGAGAAAGAAGATCCATCACCAGTGAACTCCCCCTTCTCCCTCGGCAGGAATATTAATGTAAACAAAAATCAATGGGGAAGGGATTTACTTCTCTAGTCCCGTGACCCCAAAAATAAGCAGATAACTTACTTTGCATCCTTGCATTTTTACTATTTTGAAGATGACCCAGCAGCACAATGAGGTCTTCAATAACACGAAAATATTGAGAACCTGAGGAGCTGCAGGCATGAATTGCAACTGCTACCAGCAGCTGTTGTATATCGCATGCAAGTAACTTGTAGTCATTCAAGGGAATGCTGCAAACAAAGTTGTAGTTACCAGAAACATGGCAATTCTAGTAGATTGTAACCCATAACAAGACCCATTACTATTCCCCTCGCTACTTCTGCCAACCATACTTAATATTATATTTTACTTCATATAAAAATATTACTGCTGAAGGCTAGAAAATTGTAATCAAAGACACCTCTTTAGTGTTAACTTTTGCAGACTGGATGCCTGCAAGTCTTTGAGACATTCTAACATTAAGATTATAAAAGAAGTTTTATTGGAAGAGCAATGATGTATTACTGGATTTCTAATATAAAGATCACATCTGAAACCCTGTATTTCTCAAAAAAAAAAACCAAAACAAAAAACAACACCAAAACCCAAACAAAAAAACAGATAATATCTCATCTTGCAGCCATGCTGAATTAAAGCTATGCTAGGGTAAAAAGAAAACCTGTATTTTTTCAGGATACCATCTAGTAAAATAAACAAAAACTCACCTCTCCTTCCTTCACTGTATAACCTTTCTTAAAGTACAGAATAAATTACAAAATCTCAAATATTAAATCACAGGCAACACAGGAGAGACTCTTCCTGCAGTTTTGACATCCGCTATAGATACAGTAGAATGCTACCATCTCCTGGGCCTTTGTCTTACTGTCAGGTAAGTTTTACTAGGAAAAGCATCCAAAGTGTATATAATGTGACCAACCTGCATTTTAAAACGTTGTTTCACTTGAAAATTTAAGGTATGGATAGAATATTTTATATCCAGTGTATTTCATTGTTTGAACTAAGTATCTAAACATCAACTTTCAGGTATAAAGCTGAAAACCTCAAAACCAGTGTGATTTTGTACATGTTCTCTCATCATTTTAGAAAGTAGTAAGAATACAATATATATGTTTTTGCTAGACTTAAGGTTGTGCTTGGGCTATTTTATAGCAACTGATACTATACTCACTTTGTTTCCAGTCCATTGAGAGCAGCCAGCGTATTACACAATACGTAGAGCAAACCATTATCAAGCAGTAGGTCTGCAACTTTTGAGCAGGAGTTTATGATTTGCAGCAGGAGACAGAAGCAGTTATGCAGCAGAACATTATCATACAAGGAGTTCTCTATAAGACCCAGAACAGGAATGACACACCATTTTTGAAAGAGTCCAACATTCTTGACATCTTCCAGATCAAATCTATTAAAATAAATATACGTGAGTGACATCCTTAAAACAGCAACCTGATATATGCAACTAGTATATGCACTGGAATACCAGTCTATGCCAGTATTTTGACAAAGATGTAGATGGCAATTTCTTACATTTCATTGCAGTAACAATGCCTGTCTACTGAGGGAATAAAAAGAAAACTAACAGTTCAAAGAGCCATAAGGAAATGAAGTGTCTAAAGTATATCTGAAGCTTCAGCTAACTACCAACTGGCTACAACACAGATTTCACGAAAACAAAGGGGTTCTTTTTAATGAGTGTAGAAAAATATGACTCAGCATCTTTACAATAATAAGTATTACAACTGGCACAGACACTATCAAGAAACCAGACACAGTTTGGCACCAATGTAATAATATACTGACTAACAGCAGGTTTGATATCCTTTATCCATTACTGCTGAAGTTTAATTAGGTTTGGCAACTTCTGGCTTATTGCTATTGTAGAACTGGAACAGTGCTTCACACCTTGCATTACTTGTGCATTAATAAACTGGATTACTGTTCTAAGGTTATGTGGTGGGTTGACCTTGCCTGAATTCCA